AAGAAGAAAAAAAAAAAAAAAAAAGGGGGGGGGGGAGGGGGGGAGAGAGATACTTACATATGTCTGGAACTATAGTACCAAATTAAATCTGCATAAAAATAAACCTATACACACAGCCTGTAACGCTGTAAAGCAGTCTGGTGGACCTAGCAGGTGTACAAAATTAGATCCGATAGTTCATGGAAATTCAAATGAGTTGTGCCATTTACAAACAAAAACCCCCACACAAAGGAAACAAGTGCTCAATCAATAGTCCATCTTCCTACAAGTCATGAATTCAGACTCACTGCAGATTTGGAAAGAAACCATGTACATCCAGGTTGTTATGAAAGTGATATAGCCACATTAACAAATGATGATAGGTAAAAGTGCTTCTTATTTAACCCCCAAACCTTTTAAAAGGTTCATGAGATTGAAAGACCTTTACAAAGGTAACATTGCTTCTTGACATCGAGCTGCTTCGGGTTGTGGTTCACTGCAGCTCTCATAGAAGGTTATGAAATTGGTATTTGGAAATTACAGGAATGAAGTCAGTACGTTATAAAACTATAACTTCACATCAAAATTTAAAAAATAGGCTTAAGAAAGAAAATAGAATACAAAATTAAATTTTCCCAATATCATAGCTACAAATCTGACTGGTGAGTGTGAAGGCTTTGTGTTTGTGTGGAAGGAGTTGGTGCTACAAAAGGTCCTTGTGTTGTTATGGAGAGGGGAGTCTCCTCTGGCTCTATTTTTATATTGGTGGACTGAGTTTCTGGAGGAGTAACAATGGAGTTGCGGCCTGTTTCTACAGGCTGTCCCTCTTCTTTATTGTTGCTGTACTGCTTCAGCCTTATGTGCCATGCCAAACTGCACACCGCTGATACGGTTTTGAATTGGTGAATGACATTGCGAGGGATGAAATAGATGTCGTTGTCACATAACTGAATGCGTGCATACCGGATTCCCTCCCGCCGCATTTGGTTAAGTTTTGCTTCATCCACCCACTGAACACACTGGAAAAAACAAAAAAACAAAATTGAATAGTTGTTATTAAAAAAGGACAAGTAACAGCAGAGGAGATACAAAAAACAGTCTAAAGCCTAGATTCACATTTATGTGTTTTTCTTTAATGTATTGAAAATGATGGAAAAGAATGAAGATGTATGCATGTCTAATGTCTAGGGATGTATTGATACCGAGTATTTGGGAAAGTACTCGACTCCCAGCTTCCTGATTGGCCAGAAATCCGCCTCCATGCTTTCTCGTCACCTAGTGATGGCTTCCCGGCTAATCAGAATTGTCAATTACATGCTGCCCGATAACCACCCCGTACCTAAACGGCCAGACAAGAGCCTTGTAGATGCGGGTAGGAGTCTTAAAATGTCCCTCCCCGCCCGCACTCGTGCGCGACGCCCAACACACACACAGGAAAATGGTCAAAAATGTAAACAGCTAGTGATAGCTGTTTACATACAAGCATCACAGCGTCTGTAGAGACACCAAATCAATTGTATTAGGTGCGGGTGTGCCTGTTGTGTCGCACATGTTACTTATCACCGCGAACATCGGAGTAAGAGTAATAATTTTAGGGCCATTAATCATGATAACCCTAAACTGATGAGTGGTAAAAGCTTTTAAAATTGTCGTCTAGGACCAATTTTGGGTGTGGTCGTGTGCAATTTTAATGTTTGACATGTTTGGTGTCAATTTACCCGACGCGACCCCATCTTTAATATTTAACCAAAAAAATTGGGCCGATAACATTTAAAAAGGGAAACAGATTTTTTTTTTTTCCAAAACTTACGGTACTTTTTTGTTACATAGCAAAAAATAAAAACCCCAGTGGTGATTAAATACCACCAAAATAAAGCTCTATTTGTCCCCAAAAATGATATAAAATTAATTTCAGTACAGCGTTGTATGACTAAGTAAATGCCAAACTACTGCAGCTCTAAATACTGAAAAATGGCCAGGACAGGAAGGGGAGTTAATGGAGTAATGTCATCAAGTGGTTAAAGAGACTTACTATATCGATATTCTATACCGAAAAACCGGTATCGGTGCATCCCTACATACAAAGTGCGGTGCACATGCATCATAAATGCACAACAATGTTGACATATTTTTGACAGGTTTACACTAGTGATGCCACAAATATTTCAGCCCCCCCCAAAAAGGTACTATGGGCAAAATGCAGATAGTACCAAAAAAACAAAAACAGCCAGAAAATGCAATGCATCTCCAGCACCTCCCCACTCGGCGTCGGCTGCAAGCTTTGGTCTGTGTCCCCTCTGCCGACACAGAGCTGATTCAGCTGCTGGCTCCCAGCGGGAGGAGGAGAAAGCGGTCAGGAGCCAAGCGGGGCAGAATGATACGGCAGGAGGGGGCGAGGCTTCAGGATCGGTAAACATGTTACCAATCCTTTGCTGCATTGCGTAAACACAGAGTGATCAATGCTGATCACTCTGTTTGTAAATAACGGAGGACATTATGAATGGGGAAATGGTAAATATTAACTATCTGCTCACTTTATGAATGAACAGGAAGCAGCTCAGTACAGAGGCTTCCTGTTTATTGAGTGCTGGGGCTGCAGAAAAAAAAATAAAAAATACCTGGACAATACAGTAAAATGTTGAAATTTCAGGCTAAAAATGTAATGTCGGTACACCCTTAGGTTATACCAAATTTCATAGAGAATGCATCAGGGGGATAATTGCATAGCAGTGAATTGTCCCTAATTTGTGTGTTCGTTGTGATGGGAGATGCGGATCGTGGGTTACTTTTGATGTGGGTTTGTTCTCCTCATTCCTTTATGTTTGTACTTTATATGAAAATGTGCTCAATAAAAACTTATTGCAAAGAAAATATTTGGGCTTTAAATAGGCTTTATCGCAACATATTTTATGATAAAATTAGCTAGTTGTATTTTTGTGCTAGTTGAAAATATGATAGTTTGAGCTGCCATTCGGAATGGCCACTACCTATCACAGCTCCGTCACTACACCCAGACAGCAACGACCCCGCAGCGCCGGAAAGCTGACCCCCACTGTCTCCGAGTGAGGGTAACTGTTCCAGCATAAAAGTGGGTCCTTATTTGGTTTGGCCAGTAGAACTAGGTGCCCGTCATACATGGACGGAGGGAGGATCTCTGCACTCCAACAGGCCTCGTATAAACTCAGTATTCTGGGCACTATATCTTCAGGGTATCAATTGTACCATTCCGCCGGAAACCCATATGGGCCCGGAGATTTGTTGTTAGGGAAGGAACCTATAGCCCCCATGACCTCTCGCTCCGTGAAGGCACCCTCCAAAAACTCTCGGTCAGGCTGGCTCAGCTGTGGCATGTCTACCGAGCCTAAAAGTGTATCCAGGAGAGCGACATCATACTCGGGCAGCTCTTTGTATAGGGTCTCGTAGAAGGTGACAAACTCTTGGAGGACATCACCCAGATCAGTTTTCAATGAACCATCTGAGGTTCGGATACAGGGGATCACGGTCTGGGCCCTCTGATCTGCTACTAGCATCGCCAGAAGTTTCCCATTTTTGTCACCCTTCTCGTACAGTGCCTCCCTCTGCCTATTAATGATCACCTGGGTTACAGATTCATGGTGGAGTAAAAGCTCTCTGCGGACCCCTAGCAATTCCTGAAGCGTGTCCGGGGACGGAGCCATCGCATGAGCAGCCGCGGAGTCGGCCTCCCTAGCTTGAAGGTGAGAGAGGTCGAACTGAGCAACCGACTTAGCGTGCTTAAATCACAGATATGTATTCCCCTCTAGTGGTGGCCTTAAATGCATCCCAAACAACAAACTCAGCAGCTGTATTTTGATTTATGGACCAGAAGGGTAGACAGGCGAGGCCTCAGCGATGCTCCCACCGTATCATTAGACAGCCAGTCCTGTGACAGCCGCCACGAGTGCGGCTGTCTTCCTCTATTACCCAAAAGACGGACAGAAAGCGGCAAGTGGTCGGAGAGTCCCCCGGGCAGATATGTGGAGTCTAGGACCTGGGCCAGTAGTGCGTCATTCGCGAACGCCAGGTCTAACCAAGAAGAAGAACCGGAAACATGCGATATGTAGGAATATGCTTTGGCATTCGGATGCTTCCAGCGCCAAATCTCGGTGAGGCCCGCTGTCTCCGCCCAGTCCCTCAATGAGGTATTAACCGTCCTGTGGGGGTTGGACGCATCTAAGGAATAATCAAGTATGTTGTTGAAGTCCCCCGCCACCAGTATCCGGGAGGGGGAGTAAGGGGCCAATTTCTCTAAAATTGCATACAGCACCGTTCCCTAGAACGGGGGTGGAATATACACATTTACCAATGCAAAGGACTGCGACTGGTGTTCCAGCAGCACTACCACATATCTACCCTCAGGGTCAGTTATCACATGGTTAATTACACATGGACAATTATTGTGCAGCAAAATAGTCACCCCTCTTGCATAAGAGGAGTAGGTGGCATGAAAAGCTCTCCCTATTCACCTCCTCTGCAATGCCAAAACCTTACTTCCCAACAGGTGGGTTTCCTGCAAAAAAACCACTTGAGGGTTATGAGATTGAAGAAACCAAAAGGACCAAGGCCCTTTTAACCCTTTCGCTGCCAAGCCCTCCGGAACATTTTTCAAATCAGCTGGCCAAGCCATTTTTGAATTTTCTGCAATTTTTTCCTATTGATTTGATTTTCAACT